TTTTTTTTTTTTGAGGAAAATATATTTTGAAATGATGATTTTTTTGAAAATGTAGTTAAAAATTGAGAAAAAATTGGATTCACATATAAAACTATTTTATAAAAAAATGTGTGGTTGAAAATGAGTTTTGAAAAAAGCGAGTTTTGGGAAACAATTTTTGACAAAAAGAATAAATATAGAATGAATCGATATGGAGCTCAAACATAGGCAAAATAAATCTATAATTCTTGAAGTTGCATCACGATGACTATATAGAATAAATATACACAGAAGTGATGCAGATTTGTCATTCATGGAAGATTACGCTGGGTGACCACATGGTGAACAACATAAAAGTATATCATCTATGTTGAGAACATCAATACAATGCTGGTGACAAAAAGAATAGACTTGTTGCAAGAAAGAATCCAACGCATCGTCTCTCATAAATTGGATTAGCCTGGCCTAAAAAAAAATTTGGTCCAATCCTGAATTTGCCCCTGGCATGTATGCTTTTCGAATTTAATCTCAAATGTTAGCATTGTAATTCAAAATTGGAGTCCTTAGTCAAGGATAAGTAGGAAGTTGTGCAACAACAAATCCACTCTATTTGATATTTTTCCATCAACATTTTCTACAAAAGATTTTCTATTAAAGAATCTGTTCAGGACTATCACAATAAAATAAACAAGTGATAATTAGAGATATGTAGTATCAAATTCACTAAGTTCACCAAATAATGTAAAATACTTCTTATAAACAGCAGCGTTCAAAAAATTAATGGATGCATATTTTTTACGTGTGTTCAGGATTGTCTTGTTTATTGCACGATGCAAATAACATTAACACTTCATTCATGTATCGTATAAAAATATTTGCGCTCTCGAGTCCATCACAAAATTAGTTGGGGGCAAATATTGTCTTAAGGAAAGCAATGTTGTAACTTACATTAAAACTGGATTTGATAAAGTTCGAGTTTTCTGTATTTTCAACTTCTTCTTCTACTCTTCCTTTTTATTATTGAACATCCTCCAACAAAATATTGGAAGATTTTGCAAGAGACTTTTTTCCTTCACCAATTTTGTCACTTATACTTCTTATATTCAAAATTCTTAATAGTTTATTTGGGACGATTTTAGCGTCAGGTTTTAAAGGAAATTGCCTACGAACAATAACTTAATATTAAGAATTAAAATAATTAAAAGTAAATTGAAACGGACGCTTCCCTTTTGAAGACACCTTTTGTTTTAATCCACGGAGGATGATCATTAAATTAGTCATTTACTATGAAATACATAATATTAGTATGACGAAAAGAATTATAGGCGTAAGTTTGAACAGGTTGTTTTTACCCCTCTACTGCATGCTGTTTCCCCCTTTTTACTCATTTTGATGAGTTTGAGACCACAATGTTAAGATAAAAACTTGTATTTGAAACGTATTTTCTTGAATTGTATTTGGTGTATATAAACATGTAACGCTGATTTAATTTCACGTATACTAAATAGTGTCTTGTTGAGATTTGGATATCTTTGTTTTTCTGATATTAAAACGTAGAAAAAGACTGTCTTAATCTCTTTTAAAATAGTAACAAAATAAGGTATCTGAAAAAGGAAGCTTCACTGAAAGGAAATTAAAGAGAAATTGCAATGACGAGAAGAACAGCTGAAATGATGAACAATATTTTAGTTGACAGATGCCAATGACTTCCGCCTAGTTCATCATCGAACATTGAAATACATGAAGAGAAAACACACTTAAATGTGCCAGCACTGCACTTATAAGTTATAAGCAGAAAGCATGCATGTATACTGCACGTACGATTTTCACTTAATTTCAGTTAGGAAGTACATAACTCAAAGGACCATGAGCCAATACCAGCAAATGCCCAACCAAGGCATCAACAGTGCCAAGCACAGCAATAGGGATTCTGAGAACACCATTGGGGATGTTGAATATGCACGAGTTGATTGGTAGTGTCACCAAAAGAAAGCATTTTCCAGGGTCGTTTAAAATAGTATCCAATGATGTGAAAATGAAAGTATAAACTCCGGCAGTATTTGTTACGGTCGATTTTACGACTTGTGAAACAGAACCACTTCCACATACAAGATCCACTTTTGCTTGTGGGATCACATCGTATGTTCCGGCTATGGCCACTGAAGTGTTTGTACAAGTAATAACACCCCCTAATATTCCACCACTAAGTAGGAGTTGGGCCGAGGACAAGGCGAATGCAATAGAGAGGAGAGTAGTCATGAGGAGGTATGTGGATGGAAAGGCCATTTCTTATAATATGGATGATTGATCTAAATATAAGCTAATTCTTCTAGTCGTGTTGTAGCTGTTCTTCGAATCGAGGTGACACAAACATATAGGAAATGAAGAAGAAAGAGGGGTTTTTGGGGTAATGAGCATTGATCCATATGTTTGTTGTCCAGATATACAGTCAATGCCCTATTTCCTCGAAAATATTATAATACCATATCCTGAATAACAACCAGCATGGTTTCACTTTTCCATTTTTATATTAAATGACTCAAGAAGTTAGGATATTATTGAGTGGGAGAAATTTAAAACTTCAATGGATATTAAAGAAGAAGTAGCTATTCTAGTGATTCCCCATATCTGATATCTTTGAAATATCATCATCAACTTGCAATGAACTCAACATTACCAAAAGGCAAGAAAGAAAGAAGGGTCTGGGAAACAAAATGGATTAAAGTAATATATATATGATATGATATAAAGTATATGATCACAAACAAACGACAAGATATTTCATTGGCAGAGGAATTGAGTATTTTATTCAATTGACTAATATGGAGAAAACTAATACAATAATTATACCTACACTATTATTCTATAATTCAATAATAAAAAACTTGTGAAAAGAGTAGTATTTGTAGCAATACATGCCAAATCTAAAAATACCACAAAGTTAGAAACAAGATAAAATATAACGTGGAATAAAGAAAAAAAAATATTTTTGTAATAAAAATGCGTCTAAAAAATGAAACAATATTTTTCCAATAAAAGCACGTGTAATAAAGGAAATAATATTTTCCCAAAAAAATTCAACCTAATTTGGATAAAAAACATAATAATCTCCACCTTGACACAAATTTCGATACAACGAACGAAACTCCAAGATTTCTTTACCTAGAAGCATAAATTCGACTGCAACGAAAAATTCGAACTCTTCAACAAAAATCAAACTTTCTCCAATACCAAAATAATCCTTATCTTTCACGGTTTCCAACAAGGATACATAAAACGTAAACACCAAGTTTCCCATAATTCACAAAGAATTAGAAATTATCAAACAGTGTCAAAGCATACCCTATAGTAGAATCAACACTTAATGCTTTCATAGAAGGCCCCTAACTAATCTAAACACCTTCAAAAATGTTAAAAGTATGTGCAAATGAATCAACATTCAGTATCTATCTCCAATGGGTCTATCCTTGGCAGTTGAATCTGATGGAACCACAGGTAATGGTGATAAAGCGAACTTACCCATATCCTTGAAGCTCGACTGAATAGTATTATTCAATATGGGCCCTAAGCCAAATTCCAAAGGTACATTACCAAACTAAATCTCTACCACAGTACTAAATCTGTGCTGACTTTCTTTACAAATTCTATCCAACCTTGGATCTCTTCTGCCCCTCTAATACAACACAAACACCTTCCAAACCCTCAATATTCAACTTCCTCCAAAGAACGCTTTCCCTTTTGAATCAAGAGTATTCAACGAAATGAGATTATTCTTCAAGTTTGGAATATATCGAACGTGATCAAGTATTCTACACGTTCTATCCAGTAGATTCAATCTGACTCTACCAATACCAACTACCCGATAAGATTTATTGTTACCCATGAGAATGACATCTTGTATCACCGTTTCATGTTTCAAACAAATCCTGATTGGGATGCATATGAAATTCACAAGCTGTGTCCAAAATCTAATCCTCGTCAAGTTTGGGTTCCATGTTAAAAATCGTCAAAACAACTCCATCGCTCAAATAGTTCTTGACTATGTTGGTTTTGTCTAAAGTATTTGATTGCTTCCCATGATTTGCAGTAAAATTACATTTGTTCTGCAATTTGTTGTAATCCTTTTTAATGTGTCATTTCTTCTTGCAATAATAACAAACCTGATTGCTGAATTTTGATCTCAACTTACTCCTTCTCCGATCACCATGAACAACAAGGCATTCTTCCTCTCTGGCCTCAGATCCAACCAAATACTTAGTGTTCTCTTTTGAAAATAAAGCATCATACGCATCTGCAATAGTGAGAGTATCACGACTATACAAGATCGTATCTCTAAACGAAGCTGATGGCAAACGCAAAAGGATTAAGGCCAAATCTTGTTCATCATACTTTACATCTAAAGTCTCCAAATCAACTACGACCTCCTTGAACACAGCCAGATAATCTTTCAAAGATTCGTCTTCTGCCATGCGATGAGAATACCACCTCTGCTTTAGTCATGTACAATTGTTTCAACTTCAACCACAATGCAGCTATCGTTTTCTCCTTCCAAGCGTTTTGAAAAATATTGTTAGAGAGATAAAGATGGATATATAAAAGTACCTTTTGATTCTTCCATTATTTCTGCTCCATCATCTAAGTTGTGGGCATTTTGTCAACTCCAACAACACATCATCCAAATCAATCTGTGCGAGTACAACTCGCATCTTCATTTACCACAAAGAGAATTTTTTATTATGATCCAAGAGCGGAATTTCATACTTCAAGGTTGTCATCAATAACAAGAACAACTCATAACCAATAACTGCGGTACCACTTGTTGGAAAATAAAAGGATCAATATAATAAATATGACACGATATGAAGTATATGATCAAGGCAAAGAATTTATTGACAGAAAAATGGAGTATTTTATTCAATTGATTAATATGGAGAAAATAACTATAATAATTGTGTCTAAACAATTATTCTATGTTTCAGTAATACCATAGTTATTAGACTCGGACCGGTCAGTTCGAATCGAAAATCGTTGAACCGGACTATGGTCCGGTCCGAGTTACCTAGTTTTTTAAATCTACAACTGACCCGGTAAAATCAAAAGGAACCGCCATGTTATCTTCTGAACCGCTGACCCAGATTTTAAAGAAACCACTCGGTCCAAACACTTTGTATAAAAACCCTTTCTCTCATTCTCCTTCACAGTCGTGCAGAAGAAGCGATTTGCCCTATCCTCGTAGCAAAGCAGCCCGTCTTTTGCAAGTCTCAATTTCACTCCCAAGAATCCAAACTTCAAATTTCAAGTTATATTAGATGAAAGAAGAATATGTAAGTTTAAATTTTTATGGAATCTACAAGAAGAAAATCTGATCCGTATGCGTGTTGCTGGGTATTTCCTTTCTATTTGTAAATTTCAATTTTCAATCCTCAATAGGTCTGTGTACAAATATCATCCATGTACTGATGGAAAAGCAGGTTTTCATTATTTAAACCTAAATGCACGGATATATCCTCGTTTTATATTTGAAGAAAACAAGAATCATAATGAAAGTTCAGATTATTACAATTGCTTGTTTCATTTAATTTTCAATTATGAATTATCTTCACTAAAGTATCCTATCCTCGGTCCTAAATACCTCCTGCTTCTTTATCGCAAAATTTTACTTAATTCAACGTGTTGATAGTCAATTTTCAATCTTAAATGTGATTTTATGGGTGATTGTGGATTAGATGTACAGTTAAAATTTGCAATTTTGTGCACACATATGGATCAGAATCAACGGTTTGTAATTTCATGTGTGAATATGTTTGGTTGAATTTCACAGTTCCAGTTCTTGGTTTATGGATTTTATTTTTGTAGATTCCATTAATTGTATGTTGATCAATTGTGGTAACTTAGTTAGCTAAGATGTGCAAGCATGCTGTAAATCTCAATTGTTGTAATGATTCTTTTTTGTAGCTTTGTGACTTGTGAGCATGCTGTAATTTAGTTAGCTAATTTTATATTGATTAAGAATTTTATATTTTTCCACATGATGTGTGTACAGTTAGAAAAGGTAAAATGAAAAAGTTTTAATATTCGGTCGAATCATTTGGTGTTGAAATTTCTTAATGTGTCCAATTTTTTGTGACTCTCATGATATATAATTCAACATGAATTTGTGTCTTTGTATAGTTCATTGGTGATGATAGTATACCACATTCTTCTCCACCAAAAAGTCATGCTAGAGGAAAAATAGATATAGCATGGGGTCATTGTAAAGAGATTATTGAAGCCGGTAGTCATGGGGAAAAAAACTTGTTTGCTTGTATTGTGGAAAGACTTTTGCTGGAGGTGGTATTAATCGAGTCAAACAACACTTGGCGGGAATAAAAGGCGATGTAGATTCTTGTCGTAAAGTACCCCCTCATGTTAGATTTAAAATTAAAGAAATTTTGGACAACTTTGCTGCAAAGAAGCGTAGAACTCAAAAAGTTCTTGATAAGTGTAACCCACATAGCTCTTATTATATCTAGAACAAGAAGACCAAATGTATAGAGATTTGGGTAATGATGATGTTCAAGAGATCATCCCACCTAGTTCTAAAGGAAAGGGTAGAGCTATTCAAACAAGTCAAAGAAAATGATGGGAGCTAAACATTTAAAACCACAAAAAGGAATTGATTCGTACTCCATGCCAACAACAGGACCTGGTAACCAACCTACTATCAAAAGTGTTCTTCAAAGCAAAGCAGCAATAGAAAAATGTGATCTCATCATATCAAAATGGATGATTGATTCATGTATTCCATTCAATGCTGTAAATTCCATATATTATCAACAAAGTATAGATGTCATAGCTAGCATGGGCCTGGCTATAAAGGCCCAAACTTTCACAATCTTCGTGGTTTGTTGGCTAAAAATGTCGATAAAGTACAGAAATACGTAGAAAGCTATCATTCAACATGGAAGACAACTAGTTGTACAATTATGGCAGATGGTTGGACATATCAATGCAAAAGAATGCTTATTAATTTTTTAGTTTATTGTTCGAAAGGAACAGTATTCTTAAAATCCATAGATGCTTGTTGAATTTAATTATAATCATGCTAAGATTCAAGAATCACAAATAATAAATTAATAAATCGAATTCATACCTACGAAGCTATTGTTAATATGAACAATAGTTGTAATAGCAGTCAGATCATCAATTCTTTGTTCCTCACAAAGTATTAGCCGTCAATGATTCAAGCTAATAAAACAATATGGAGAGGAGAGGGGACCTAACCTTTTTATAAGAAATAATTGAGT